TCCCAGCTAGCGACGGTCTTCCCGTTGGAGTCTGTCGACTTCTGGACGTGACCGAAGAATTGGATCTTGGGGGCTGTTAGCACTGTCTCAACAGTGTGCTTCTGGGCCGGTTCAACTTACGTCCACGGTGACATCGTGGCGAGGGAACTCCCAAGGATTGAAGTCCAGCCAGTAGTCGGGGACCTCGACTTGGTACCCGTCGATGATCTCCTGCTTGAAGATACCGTATCTGTACCTCAGTCCGTAGCCCCAGGCGGGGAAATTGAGCGAAGCTAGACTGTCAAGGAAACAGGCAGCCAATCGACCAAGACCGCCGTTTCCGAGTGCAGCATCGTGCTCCTGTTCAATAACGTCCTCGATGCGGAAACCGAGGTCGTCAAGGCCAGCTGCGAAGCTATTAGCATCACCGGCTCTCTCCCAGGGCCTTATCGTCACTCACCCTTGGCGACGTCCTTTAGGCCGACGTTCAACATGGCGTTGTCGAGGGCGCGACCCATGAGGAACTCGAGAGAAAAGTAGTAGATGCGCTTCCCGTCGACGGTGGTCTGGCGCTGCTGAGTCTTGTTCCATTCCTTGACCAGGCGGTCACGGAAGGCCAAGCTGGCGGCCGAGTAAGCGGCCGTCTCATCGCAGTTGAACATGCTGCGGGCCAGGGTGGTCTCGACATGGCGGACAACCTCCTTTTCGAACTCCTCCTTGCTCTTGAAAGGGCTGGTTTGAGCCTTGGACCATGCCTCGCGCTGGGGCTCTGGGATTGAAGCTATTGAAAGGGCGTCAGCTGTGCAATTCCAGCGAGAAGGTAGCTACCTAGCTGGTGCAAGCGAAGGATGATGTGCGACAGGGCATGAAAACGAAGCTACTGTGTCCATGTGGCGTGATGGAGCTCGCGACGATCAGTGCGGGGTATTTGGGCCTGGACGGGCCTGAGAGCTGCCCCGCCCTCGACGAGCTCCACGAAAGCTGCGAGAGCTCACATGGGATCGTGCAACTGAGAGACTGGAAGAAAAGGAATACCAACCCTCGACGCTCTTGATCTCGCCAGCACCGAAACCAGTGAAAGTTCTCTTGTGCTTGGGGCGGGAAACGCCAGCCGGGCCGACGGAGCCCTGGATGTCGATGATGGGCGCACCCGTGGAAGGACGTCGTTCGCGCAGGGGAATACGCTGCGGTTCCGTGGATGCCGACATTTTCGTAGTTGGTTGGATACGCGTGCAACAATGAATCAGGAACTTGGAGACTCAATTGGAACGATCTTGAAGCTCGACTGTTTGGTGAGAATGTCAGCCGTCCTGCTAGCTACGAGTGATTCCTGGAGAAGGGAGAGTAGAGAAACCGAAACAGCACTCGGACGTAACGAACAATGAGCGAGGGACAATCGGGCGGGGGACGGAGGAGGAGCTCCAGACTCGTTAGCAAGCGGAGCAAACGGGACATACGTCAAGGATATGTATTGGCGGGGAGAAGAGCGGGGTGTTTGGCGTGCCTGAAGCTCAGCCCACCACTCGCGGCCGGGAAACTCTGTCAGCCCAGCAACACCGAAAACGAAGCGCCTCAGCGGAAGAATATGGAGCTGGTGCTCGGCGACTGGATCTTTTCTAGATGGAGATTAGGGTTAGATGGCGTTCCAGATGTGATTGGGGCTCAGCGACTGCCCAAGGGCGACGTACGACTGTAGATGCAGATAGAAGTCGAGCTTGGCACACAGGAGGAGGAAGATGTACGTTACGAGGGCAGCTAAGAGGGTAGACACGGAGGCTTCGCAGATAAGAGAGGGAGGGGGGGGGGAAGGGGAAGGAGGGGTAAAGCAGAAGAACGAAAGATTAAGAGCTCGTGAAGTGAGAGGGGGTAACGGCAGCTTATGAAAGAGACGGGCATTCAAGGAAGGGTAGGTCGGTGGTATATCTCAGTCAGCCATGGCATGTTGGGTTACCATGCTGCAAGAGGAGCAGAAGGAGGAGGAAGAGAGGTACTTCCTCGATTGGATGTTGGATGAGAAGCTACCTTGCCGTAGCTCTAGCTAGCTCATTGGATCTAACATCGAGATGGATGGAAGGTGCTGGGGTGTTGGGGGGGGGGGGGGGGCATGGGCGTGGCATAGCATGGCACAGCATGGCACGGCATATCGTATTGATCTTGCACAAGGCAAAAAAAGGACTGCCCCTCCTCATAAAATCCAGGATTGACAGCCTCAACTACGCTGAACAAGGAAGGTATGGAGAGTCAAGTCTCTGGCTGATCTGACAACCCGCACACACCAGAAATTTGATATGGGGCTCCAGCAAGGTCAAATTCAGGGGCTATCTGCCCATGTACTCCCGTAGTGTACCCAGATATGCACAGCAAGAACCCCCCCCCCCCCCCCGAAAGAGGAAACCACCTGACATGGCCTCACTTTGCGGCCATCGGAAAAGGGCGAAACCAGAGCACGCAGCCGAGAAGCAGTCCGGCTTGTTGCTTGCTGCCGAGCCATCAACAATGCGGGGTGATGACGCGCGGTGAGCAGAGCACCCCAGCAACAGCGCAGTAGCCTGACGGCAGCAATGCTGTCCCATCTTCCATTCGAGTCTCCCGACTGGAGCCATGGCACCCCGAAGTGGCGCGTCCGCGCAAGGAGAACATGGGGTATGTGTCTCGCTCAGCTCATGCGCGAAGTACGAGGTAAGTGGTACAGAATTGTCGGCTACCTAGGATGCGGTGCTTCCTCCCCATTCGCGAGACCTTCTGCAACCAACACGCTTGGCGCAGCTGTGGCAGCCGCCGCCCCAGTGGTGCATCAGAATGGCGGCGGCGGCACTGACACCGAAGCCGGTTCGACTCGGCCATTTGGAAGTGTAAAGTGTGCTATAAACCATTGGGGTAAGCTAGGGGACGGCGAGCTTCGGAATGCCCACCGAATCCCGGCAACCCGCTGCACTCGCTCTACTACCGGTATGTAAGTGCGCCAGCACAACTCGGCTGAGACATTGACCCGGCCTTCTCATTTTGGGACGTCTTGGGATATTTTGGGGGAAGAGAGTTCGGCGGCGGCAAATCTCGAACCGCTTCTCCGGTGAGCATTGCCGACCCCGTATAAGTCGGTTAGTAGTAATCAGCACGGCAAGCACAGAATCATTCCTGGTGCCGTCAACCATCTCCCCACATGCCCGAGACCCTCTTTTCCTCTCTCTCTTTCTCCCCCCACCTAATGTCTCTGGATTCTGGCGTGGCATGCATCACCAACCGCAACACCCCATCTCTTCCTCATCCCACCCAAGTCTCTCCACAAGCGAACAGCCAAGTCATGAATATGTCGCCATTCCACCATACCCGGCCGCCTCCCGGGTGCGGCTACGAGACATACTAGCCCTTCACCTACCCTACTCGGCGACTCACCCTGCCCGAGGTGACGGGTCCTGTTGTACCCAACCAACGAGTCACGCCTAGTTTACACAGCAACCCCCCACCCACCCAGTCCCACAACAAAATGGACCTCCTTCTTGCTGCTATCTGACACGGCGCCAAACTGCCGCTGCATCGCCTGGGGTAAAAGCTTGCGGAGCCACGGAGAGCACTGTGGCGCCTGGGGGGCTGGAGACCGGAGATCTTTTCCCACGTTGCTTGGTAGAATGGAACAGAACTCCGCCCATCCCGAACATGCCGTCTGAGCTCCTTCTCCTCCGTCCTTGCACCCCCGCTGTTCTTCAGCGCGGCTCTCTCTCTCTCTCCCTCTCTCTGCCTCCAGTATCCGACCTCTGTTAACAAACCACCCCCATGAGGCCAATCTTCTTGAAGCCACTCCAAACAACCCAACCTCCGTATGCGAGCATGCAATTGGCCAGCCTAGACTCCTCCTCTCCCATCCACCCCCGGCGCCCTGCCCCCTCGGCAGAATTGGAAACTCAAAGACTAAAAAAAAAAAGCACGGACGGTATAGGAAGGGGGGGCGCCGCAGAGAAAGAAAAAGCCCGCCCCAAACACAACCAACCCACTGGCGTTGAACAGCGACTGACGGACCGCAAAATACCATTTTTTCGTCTTCCACATCTCGCGCGCGGACTCATCTCCGTCTGATGTGACCGGGAAAAACTCACAGAGTCGGGATATGCGTCGATGTGTGTCTAAACGTGCTGGTAGAACCGGATGCGCCGCGTCCAGCGTGCATAGTCTCTTGCGAGATTAATACAATGTAGTCTACAAATGAACAAGACGAATTCATCAATGCCAGGCCTCAAGCCCGAGCTCGACGCTCCCCTCCCGCGGGAGGGGGATGTTCTTCATCGTTCCGCCAGCCTCGGAGCCGATCCGATCGGCCCTCCAGTCAAGGTTGCACTCAACCTCTGGACCTCAACCCGCCCCGTTGTCGAGCCACCGGGACCGGGCTCTGTTTCCGTACATCCTTGCGTTGCACACAACTTCAGGCGCATGGCTGGATCCCGCGTGGAGAGATATGCTTCATTTGGCTGTCTGTCGCAACACTTCCCAGCAATCAACCAGCACCCCCATGCTCCTCGATTCTTTCGAGGTGGCTGGATTGCTGCTTGCGTGCTTGCCTCGCTTTACTCCATCAATGTCCCGAGCGTCAGTCCCAAACGAATGGTCCATTCATCACTTCGTCTTCGAACTTCCCTTTCCCAACATCATATTCCATCCAGGCCACGGCCAGCATACTTCTCGCCCCAAAAACCATCCGCGCGCAGACCTCTTCTCTTCACCAACACACGGTTTCCTTGTTTGGGCGACAGCAACCGGTTGCGAATGCACCTCTTATATAGCAATATCAATTGATTCCATGATGCAGAAGGAAACTGCCGCTGTCGATCCCAAGCCACCAGCCGACCCGTTCGCTCGACCATACCGTGTCAAAGCGAGCGTAGAAACCAGAGTGAACGCCGTCCAAACGAAGTGCCGCCCACAACGCCCGGCAATGCTGTAAAACGCTGACCCGCAACAGAGGAGATGAATCTAAACATTAAGAGAAAAGAAAAAAAGAAAAGAAATTGGCGATCCAAATCGAGACGGTTTCATAGGATTCCAGAGTCCCGAAGAGCGTTGTTGAGAATCGTCTCTTTCACTGCCGCAAACACGAGCCGAATATTCGATGTATCGGTTGCTTGAGTCAGGCTACCGTCCTATTAGCTCTCTGACCACCAATAGAGAGCAGTGGCGCCCATCACTTACTGAGGATACAAGTTAAGATGTGCCCGATTGACCTGGTTGAACCTCCAGAGCAAATATTTGGCCGCCTTGTTGACATCGTTGCCACCAGAGTAGTCGGGGAAGTAATTGCCCAAAGGTGAGCGACCAAGCTTTTGCTTGAAAATATCCACCTTGTTCAGGAACAAGATAATGCTGGTGCGCATAAACCATCTTGAGTTCACCACGGAATCAAACAATAATAAACTTTCCATCATTCGGTTCTGTATCTGTTAGTATCCGGGACCACATCAGTTGCACGGGATCCTTGGGTCCGTACCTGGCTAGACTCCTCGAGCAGAACTTGGTCGTATTCGCTGAGAGCAACGCAGAAGATGATGGAAGTGACGTTTTCAAAGCAGTGAATCCACTTCTTCCTTTCGCTTCTTTGACCGCCCACGTCGAACATGCTGTGACAATGTTAGCTTCCTCCGAGGGCTTGCACGCGTCTTCACAGAGTCTAGTCTCACTGTATGCTGAGCTGGCCCATCTGAAATCTTGTTTCGTAAATGCCGGTAGTTTTGGTTCTGGCCCTGAGAACATCCATCTCGTTGGGGAGATAGTCCGGTGAGACGATGCGCATGACCTCTTGGAAAAAGCTGATGCAAACCAGCTGGTTAGCTGCCGCTCTGATCAATCAACCTGCAGGTGCCAAACGGGAGAAACCCACTATTCTGCCGAATCCATCAGATAGAACTCAGTCTGCCTGTCCATGAGCTGCTCCCTTGCAGGGTCGCTCCATATTGACTGGATGGCAACGCCGATTTGGGGATCGATGTGTGCCTGGGGGCCCGACTCGGCTGTGTATTCCAGGAGGTAGGTGGCATAGGCCTTGTTTGCCTCGATTTGGGGCTCGATGTCGAACTGTCGCATCGCCTGTATCACTGCCTTCGCGCATTCTACCAGGTTCTTAAAAACTGTCGGCCGATAGTTGTAGAGTTCGTCTTCCGAGTAGCCTTTCAAATGGATGATCTTCATTTGTTTGACGATTGTGGATTTCCCGCTTTCTCCAGAGCCTGAGGACTTGTCAGCATGTCCAGGTCCCGGAGCGGCACTCGGGCGGCGACGGGCGGGGTGAGAACGTACCGAGCAACAGAATCTTGCATTCTCTGCGTAACCTTTTAGAGTCTTCTTCCAGTTGTCGGTCGATCGCCTGGCTCTTTTTCTTCTGTTCGACCTCCTCGTTATTCGAGCTCATACAGGCACCCATTTTGACGGGTGTGGCGAGGCTCGGATGAAGCCGTTGTCCGTAAGAGTGATGCGAAAGGGAAGTGGTTGGTGGTGCCTCGAGTCTAAGGGGCTCCAAGGTCCGGAAAGCGAAGCGGCGTATGTTCTCCAAAAGACTGCACGTTAAATGCCCATAGTAATATTAGTCGATAACTCGGAATGGTGAGTAAATCAGAAGGCCGGGAAAGGCGGGAGGGCGGCGTGGTCGGATGATGAGGCGGTTCGTCGATGGGTACTCGGCGGCAAGGTAACGCAAGGTCGTTGGGGTCGACGGGCTTCGGCCAAGGACCAGTCGGTGAAAGCAGTCGATAATCGAGGACGGGGTATGTTTTGCAATCGAATGTCGGCAGGTTTGAGGATGAAGGGACGAGGAGCTTCGACCCTGGAGATCGTAGGAGGGCGGAAGCTGTCGAGGGAGATGGGTGACGAAGAGCGGAAGATGAGAGAGTGCGACCGACAAGGCGGGCGAGGACAGTGTCGGAGGAATAAATGTGGGTATCACCAGGACTTCGATAGGCGGGCGGATAAGTGTAATTGGGTGCGGCACACACTACCTAAAGCACCGACCGATGTACTCCGTAGGTATGTACCTTTTGGTAGGTACCTAGGTACCTAGCACACCCAGCAAAGGGTGGAGGCAGGAGCCTTGTTGGATCGTCGGCTGCCCCAGGTGTCGCAGGGCGTGCGCAACACAGACAATGATTATGACTAGGATCAACCAGGGCTGGGCTGTCTTGGGGTCTGGTCTGGTCTATCAAGTGCCGACGCGACGGGTCGCAAGTCACAGAGACACGAACAAGAGGTTATAATATTGTAATGGGAAACCTGGAAATCCGGAAGATGGAGGGCGAGAAAGTTAGAGAGGGAAAAGGAAATGGGAATGGCGGGGAGGGAAGTGAGAGGAGCGCGTGTGGCTACAGGGAAAAAAAGGAATGCCGCCGAGGGGGAAAGTTTAAAAATTGAAGCTGGTTGATGTCGACAGAGCGAGGTCGCAAGAGCAGGCGGACAGACAGAAGAGCGGCGGTAACTTTGTAACCGTTGCCCGCTGGAGATAGACAGACAGGCACAGTGACCAGGAAAAGGATCGGTGTGTAAGAAGCAACAGGCAAGGAAGGCACACACACACCCCATACGCTACTACACAGCCAGCCCATACAGACACGCACCTCCTTCTCCTCCGCCCTGGGGGGCCTACTTCATTTTCGTCTTCAGAGGTACACAGTTGCAGTGGGTACCCATGATACGGCATGCGGCGTGGGTGACAGGGCAGGGACACGTTCCCAGCAACCAGCGCACCATTGCAGCAGGCCCAGTTCAGTCGGCAAGGCCAGGGCGACGGCGGCGGGGGGTGCGGTTGCGGGTGTGTCATGGTGTGTGTGTGTGTGTGTGTGTGGACCGGGTATGAATGGGTCTTGTGCGTACCAGTATAGCATGTGTGCGTCTGTGGACGGACTCGGTCTCTTCAATTTGTTTGACAGACCTGGACTGGTCTTGGCTCTTCCGGAGGGGGAACAGGCCGGGCAGTGTGGTGGACAGACACGACACGAGCAAGAAACAAACTCGAGCGAGCATCGGGGTCCTGGGAACGACAGCACGGAACGACGGAATGGAAATGAATGACTGAATACGCAGTCGTCAGCACGGAGCCGGCCTCTTGGAGGCCTTGTCCGTCTAGCCTACAGCGCATGGCATGCAGGAGAGACATGCTGAGGCTGGATGCCTCCCGATAACCAAAAAGTAAGTGTCTCTGCTTTGGGGCATCGAAGATGGGTGGCTTGCGACGGCGTTTGATGAGGGACGTCGCAAGAGTATAATTACGCACACGACCATCGATGGCCTTGTCGACGACCATGTTACCTACCTCGAAGCCTGCGAGCCCATAAAGAAAGAAGCTTGCTTGCCAGGAGTCAACGAGGGAAGAGGGTTCGATAGGAGCGTCTGGCCTGGCCTAGCCTGGCCTGACCTGACCTGACTTGACCTATCTCCCCCCATCCCTCACAATCCGAGGCCTCTCCTCAGTTCCAGCTTCGAGGTATTCGCTCCCGTGATTAATTAGTCGAGGAGCTCTCTCAACTGGGTTAGGTACTTATAGGTCATTCTCCACTTGTTTTAGTCTGTTGTCCTTCCCACCCTCTGCATGGAGTATCCCAGTAGTTATCGCTCGTTACTAGACGTATATCCCTGTCTACCTCGAGGTTCTACAGATATTTACGGCATACGGTACGTACCTCGCTCACCTCTCTCTCATGGCTTTCCCCCCGGGGCATTTCTGCTGCTTGCGGTGCTGCGCTGGGCCGGGCCATAGGTCAGAGAGAATTAATTACCAATGGGTAAGGTCATTTAGGTACGGGTGCACTGCCCGAGAGGGTCATTAACCATCCTATATGAGGCATCGGGCAAGCCGGGCGGTCGGTGACGCTATTGTAAGAACAAATGTAAACAAGTGCCAAGAGATAATTTCATATGCCTATCCGGACTGAAGAGAGACGGCTGGCAGAGCGAGGCACGGCGTAGCATCTCTGCCGCCTAAGGTTTGACTACGCGAACGATACTTTCTTTGCACGCTTCCCTACTATGTATCTCACCCGTACCCACAGCGTCTCTGCAAAAAAAAGAAAAAAAAAAGAAAAAAAAAACCAACAAGGTTTTGCCATTGACGATGGCATCCTCGTCTTGCAAATTTCTCACTTGAAATTAATTCTCCTAGGTTTACCAGAGTACCCGGTCAGAGTATCTGTATATACACGCTGTTTGGATTGATTGCCCTGTCCAGTTTTGTTTTTTCGGCACCCCATCTGCACCTGCCACGAGATGCCCACGTCGCCGGCGTCGGAACATGGTGGCCGTTCCCGCTCCGTTTCATTTCTTCTTCTTCTCCTTCTACCTTCCTCATTCATTTCTTTTTTTTTTCCACTTCTGTCGTTTCTTGTCCTGGATAATCTTCATCTCAACTTTTCCTTGTTTATCAATCTGCCAATCCCAAGGCCTGGCTGGCATGGTCGTATTTGATGTGTTTGGATCACAATCGTCTGTTCTCGTGGAGTCCTGGGAGAAATTCCACCCCCATCCTGGGAAGCCACACGATTTGGCCGCGCCCAGCTGCGCGTCTCCGCATCCGGCAGCCTCAGACACCCAGACGCCTTGGATGAGCGAGCGCGGTGTTTTGCTGACAGGAAGGGGGAGGGGCTAGGCAGTGTAACAGCTGTTTCAGTCACCGCTCCCGAGTAATGACCCTTCAACCTCCTCAACCTCTTCCTCCTCCCTGAGTCTGACCCGCCAACCAACGACAGTCACCTTGCTCCGTGCGGATTGTCCCGCCGGCTACGCATGGGTTCACAAAGTAATTACTCGTCAGTGCGCATTAGATATTAGACGAATGCCTCCAACCTATCGATCTATGGACAACGTCAATGAAGTCACAAAAGAAAAGAATAAAACAGAAGCGTTATACCCGTCGTTGACATGCTCTTCGCCTCGACCGCCGTACTCCTCGGGCGACAATCGCTACCAGCTTGGACGACTAACGAGCTGGCAGTCAGTCAGTCAGCCCGACGCTACGGTTTGGAGCAGAACAGACGGATGGCTTCTGCCCGTCGTTCTAACCATCGTGGCTTACCGCCAGTCTGCGCCCCTCTCCAATTGATCGTAGAGTGCTACGGGTCCAGCATTGGCGTTTTCGGTCATACACTAATGCATCCCGACAAGGCCGGAGACGTGAGCCATCTCGCAGACTGTCGTCACGCCGTCGGTGCATGCTGTTTCGATGCGCTTGCAGATAGATAGATACAGATGCAGACGGCGAGCCTCTTGTACCCACCCGCTTCACCTGATAGCCACAGTCGAGTGTTGCAATATGCTGCCGTCTCGGGATTCACCTATTCATCTGCTCGACACGCCGTAGACTATATACCTCTAGCCTCCAAAAGGACGACCAACCGATCCTGGTCAGGGTTCTCTTTTCTTTTCTTTTCTTCTCTTCTCTTTCCCCTTTCGGACTTCTCTCCCACTTCCCTCCTCCCCAAGTTACTCACCGGGTACTGCAGTCATGATGCATTCTCAACGAGGTACACACAAAGGACTATACACATCCTCACCGTGCGCCTGCGAACTTGAACAGCGCGAAAACTTTACCACGCTATGGGCACTTTATCTGCCCTGGTTCTAGCTTGCGGAGGTAGCTTTAACCCGGCTCTCTGCTTTTGCCGCTTAGGATTGACTACTCTCTAGGATCTTTCGGCTCATATCAAACGCATGAAGCGCTCTATTTCAACGAAAGTTTTTGCCGGGTTACGGAACGAGGTGTTGCCACCTAATCGGTACCGGCGACTGACTCTGCAAGACAATTCCTCCGGACAGCAATCTGGGCCTAGATAACTGCTTCGTATTGAGAGTTGCCAATTGAGGTCGCATTGGGCCTGGAGAAGAGGCCATCACGGGACTGACTTAATGCCATCGGTCGTCGAGCTTCTCTCCTACGGCTAGACACCCTGTTCTCATCAATGCTTTCGTCGGATGATTAACACTGATCAGCCTGCATCCCCGGAGAACTTGGCCCAATTTCTAAGCATTAATTTGTCTGAATCTTCATTAACATACCCAGTGACACGCGTGGAAGAGCGTGCCATCGACGAGTCTGGGCTTCCGCAGCCATCTTTAACGAGGCAGCATACAGACCTCGGTGGCCCAAACACTCCAACGGCCCGCTCTCGGTAGTTCTGGGTGAGCTGCCTCGTCGTTTGTTTCTTCCGCCTTGCTCACACTGGGACGAGAACGAGACAGCAGCAGCAACCTGGCTTGGCCAATGCTGCCTCCGTGGTCCTTGCCTGTGCATTGGCTGAAGCTACCCTCTAAGCCACCATGCCCTGGGGTTCTATTGCACGCACTACCTAGGAGCGGGAAGGGTGCGGAATAAACTTCCTTCAGTTCAATCAACACTCATGCTCAAGGGTAGCGCCTCCGGGGGATATTCTCGAGATGTCCCCT